AAAGCTGTATCAGTGTTAGTCCACTAGACGACAGAAAAGATCGGATAGTAAGATCAGTGGCATATCAATATCTTACATGAATAACATTCATCAAGCAGATGCTTTTGACAGATTTAGTAAAACGACACAAAGCGCAACACATATGGTATCATATCACTACTAGAACTGAACAAAGTGTTTTTTTTAGTCTTTTTTTTTGCAATAAGGTTCATTTTAACTGCTTCAGCATGAATACAAAGGCACCATACACACGAAGAAAGTTATGTGATCTCAGCTTTAGAGACAGACTGTAATCAACTGAACATGAACATTAATCTGGTACTGGTGTTAATTATTTAAAAAAAACACAGCACATATAGTGGTTAGAGAAACTGCTGTGGTAAAACGTCTTATAAAAAGCATATATGACATTTTCTGACACTCACTGTCTACAATCACACAAAATCAAAACTTTGAGAGTCAAACAAATATTATGCTAAATAGAGTAATGGGTATGAAGCTTCTTACATGCAAGTTTAACAGCTCAACACACGCAGGTTCATTTCATTTTTTGACTGGTGGTATGTTATTTAAGTGAACTTGTCCCCTCTTCCTCATTCACTACATTCTAGATCCTCTCCATTCAGCAGTGGCATCACTACAGTCGCTGATTAATTCACTCGCTTTCCTGTTGAATCAGTCAGAAAATACAGAGACAATGACAAATTAAAAACAGATATGATGTACTGATCTGGATTTATTCATGAGAACTAATGTCAAGCATTTATAATGTACAAAATAATTTAACACAGATTGTCAGTAGCACATTTGACTCAATCGATAAGTTCAATCTAGTTCAGCACTGTTGTCACAAATTAACATGACATTATATTTGTGAACTCAGTCACACATCTTCTAGAATATGCAAGTTTACTTTGTTTACGCTCTTTAATTTACTTTCACATTCACACTTCTTGTTCTCAAAATCTGAATGAGTAAACTGAAAATAGTAACATTACACACATAAGATCATGATCTTTTTTCAAATTATAAATGCACACAAGAGAATCACCTACTTTCAGCCATTTCAGTTCATTTCCACGAGCTTCTGCATTTGATCCTGTTTTAACAACAATCACAGACATATTAGATGATGCACTTTAAATTCATTAGACATAAAGGTCACATAATTAGAAAAACACACTCAAAGCCTGTTTTTTTTTTTTTCATAAAAATCTGATTTATGAGGAGAACTTTAAGTACACCAAATTTCTTCTACATGATTCTACAGAAGTACTGAGAAGAGTATTTTTCTCATTCTTTAACTTATCAAACATATTTGTAAGCCATATTTACTTGCACTATTGATCATTTGCAGTGATTTTTTTTACAATTTTAAAAACCTTAATTATTAATGACAAATTAAATAACACTAAAGTGTGCAATGAAAGTGTGCAATGATCCCCATAGCGACCCCTAGAGGACGCAGTTCGAAGTTCCCATGAAAGGGAACAGGGTATTGCGAGCGGG